TGCTTTTATGTTTACAGATAAGCATGACACCAAGTTTTTCGATTTTAACTCGAGTACCAATTTGTCGTACTCGGAGGAATGGAATGGTTGGATGGCCCGGTATCGGGTAAAATCAGAATCCATGCGTGTATTGCACGTTGTCTTTGGCCAGTGTCTGTCTTTCCATCACTAAAGGTGCCTTGCGAAGATCATGGCACCCTTGTTGTTTCGATTCCATGCTATGCGCAAAGTCAAATACCGATTCAATCACCGCTATGATGCTATGAATGATGTTGAATTCATGTCACATCTTTAAAGGATTGCTCGTTTTTACACTTCCATATTTTCTGAGCATCTTCTTCCTGTTTTTTTTTTCGGTTTTTTACTATATTCGGTCCGTTTCTTATTTCAGGTGAATTCGACGGATCTCAGTGAAAAAATTACGACTGATGCGCACATGATTTTCTTGGCTTCGAAGAATGGAGTTCCTGTTGGTGGACTGCCACCAAAGAAAACACTGGCCGAGTTGCTGGCGAAAGATAACGCCGACTCATCAGCATCTCAAAGAGGGCCACCACCGAAGACTACCATCGGTGAGTTGGTCGAGAAGGATAGACGGCCGCTATCTCCGACTGTGGCTTGCCAAAGACCGATGGTGACGATAGAGCGCTCTCAAAAGAAACCATTACAACATCAGCAAAGTTCAGATAACGACGATAGCGAATTACAACAAAAACTCGCCGCACAACGAATGAAGAAATGTTACGATGCTTCAGCGGAATCCGTTTCGAAGATTGTCACCGCCACCTCACCTAAAGATTCTCTGATTTCTGACCATTTACCAGAAGATCCATCAACTCAAACAGTTTCCGAAGTTAGCATCGCGGAAAATAAGGCCGTTGCAGAAGATGCAGAAATAATAGGTAAGCGAGGTTCTACAACTGAGGAGTCAGTTCACGAACTTCACAATAATGGAGAAGTCCAAAACAAACTTGGTGGAGAAGACCAAAACAAAGTTGATGGAGAAGACCAAAGGAAACTATCACCTTCGAAAGAGGCTTCTTCTTGTGAACCAAAAGAACTTGAAAGCGTTTCGCTTCTAGTGGCGCCATCAGAAGAGCCTTTAAAGAAGGCTGAAGAGAATCCAGTTCATGAACATGGTGTCAAGAATATTCCGCTTTTAAGACAAGCAGAGAATGCTGAACTAAAACGATTGTTAGGCGAAGAAATGAAAAAGTGCAAAACAAAAGTGGAAGAGATGATGGTACTAAAAGACATCGAGTTACGAAAGGATGACCGACCTTTCTCGCCGTCCAAGGAGCTACTAGAGATGATTCACAGTGAAAATGGGTGTGTTCTTCGGCTTTTTTAAATCATTTTTTAATAGTTTCCAGGATCGACTTTCTATTAACCTTGGCATTGGAATATGAATGTGTCGTTTTCTTGTTCAGCGATCGCGAGGTTTTTAAACAGCATACATTTACTTTCATGGAAGAACACAATACAATACTTCGAGATTCGAGGAGATGGCTCACTGAAGAAGACCTGACGACTCGACACGAAGGCGAAGCTGCCACGTCGAGACGAATAACAAACGAGGACCATCGACTCGGATCGTCGGCTCTGAGGAAGACGAAGACGTCGAAACGTTGGCCGAAAATAAACATCATTATCAACCTCGGGTAAGCTCATCAAAGAAAGAATACAATACAATACAACACTAGCTGACGTTTCGGCAGTATCGCCTTCTTCAGAGCCGTTTTTTTTTCGTGGCTTCCAGTGAGGAAGTTTGGAACAGCTGATTATAGTCGCATATGGTTGACGACTGCCGCGATATGTGCAAAACTCCGGACCGCTGGGCGGGGAACGAAGGTGCCATTAAAAAGTAAACGTGGACACGGAATCGTGCGTTCGTTGCTCTCCGCATCAGATCCTCGATGCATTTTCTACGCACCTCTTCACCCACTTTGTAATATTTACTCCTAAGAGTAGAATTGTTCCTCAACCCCCTGTCGACCTAGGTGCACATATAGCATATATAGCAGTCATCAACCATATGCGACTATAATCAGCTGTTCTAAACATCCTCATTGGAAGTCACGAAAAAGCGGTGGGTTTTTTCGAGAAGTTGTTGATCGTATAATTACCAAAGAGTTTTTCGTCTTTTCGGGAGTGTTATTGAAGCGTTTGGCCTAGTAGATTGTATATCAGCATACCCTTGCAGGCTCTGAAGAAGGCGATACTGCCGAAACGTCAGCTAGCGTTGTAATGTATTGTGTTTTTCTATGGAAGTAAATGTATGCTGTTTAAAAACCTCGCGATTGCTGAACAAGAAAACGACACATTAAGTATTATTGTTCAGTTTCCTACTGATTGGTACTTTGTCATGTTTGCCAAAGTTAATGAATAACAATAGAACTTAAGTGAGATTAAACTGATAAGCAGGAAAAGCTAGGTCAAGATATCTAGTTGTTTTCAACATTTATAAGGGTTGTTTGAGCAGCCCCATGAAACTAACGCCCACTGTTGCTTCGGTATTGGTTAGTTCGGAATTGTCCATAATAGTTGAGTTACTAAGCTTTCAAATGTATACAATATATGTTTTAATGTCTCGTTGCAAGTATTAAAGAACCATACGATCTTTTTCAACTCAAGTACCCCACTAATCCTTAATGTTTGCACAGTTTGTTTAACATATGGCTCGAAGTTAATGATTTCTCTAATAATACGCGCAGTCATCTTGTTCACCTTTTTCAATGTTTACTTCCCCAGAAAAGGGCGCGTATGGCGTAGTGGGCGGAGGCGCTATGCAACACACACGTGGAATCGATCCTAGCGCCCAAGGCCCACCAAGCCTTCCATCACTCCGGAGTCGGCAAATTGGTACAAGACTTGTCTGGGAGGATAGCAGCACTGGCTCCATACATCGATAGGCCACCGCCAGTCATTGTAAAGGCCAGATATGCATTCAATCACCTCCAAACGAGCTCAATGAAGTCGAATGGATGACGCATCCCTTACGGATTGGTCAACGCAGAGAGCTTTATCCTTTATTTTTATTATACTTCCCCATTATTTACCTCCCTGATAATGCTCATAGCGGGTGTGTTATGATGTAAAGAGGGTGTTTCATTGCTTATCAAAACAGGGTTGCTCATTTTTTTTGCTAAATAAAAACAAGCTCCATATTCCTACCAGAAAATTCAACTAGGAAAGTCCAGAGTTTTGCAAATATCTCAGCAACGTTGTGGTTGTATTTCGCTTAGTAACCTGCCATGAAAATTATAGAAGGCAGAAAACAAAACGTTAAACATTGTGATTTCAACTACAGCCATAGCTTAACTGGGTTCTATGCCGATTTGCGCTCCCCAGATCAACTCCGCTGAACGGTGATTGCTGTGGCAAAAAGATCGATAGAAATAGCTGAGAGACAGGCGAAACGAAGGAGGACCCGCATGGTGTGGTGGTGAACGCGTTACTCCCCGGAAAGGACAATAGCGCGTTCGTTCCCAACCATAGACACCTGCGGTCCGGAGTTTTGAAAATATCTCAGCAACGTTGTGGTTGTATTTCAACTAGGAATAGTTCAGTGCGCTTTATCACGGCCATCCTAGAAACAGCATAATTACAGACGAGAAAGCGGTATCTGAGAAATCCCCTTTCTCTGCTGAGCCGCATGCCTGTTGGGATGAAATCTTAAATAACCATGAAATTACTAATTAAGTGCAAATTTTTCTGTATTCCTCGTGATTACTCACGGCTTGTGAACTTGAGGTCACTCATGTAACACGTTGCTTAGCTGCTATTCGATCGATTTTTTGTATCAAGTGTATAAGTCATAATTCATTAGTTAGAGCCAAAGCTTGGTTGAATGTCCTTTTTTGAATGCCCTTTTCCCAATCCATTGTAATTGTTGGATCAATCAATAAATCAATAGAGTTGGAGACTGGATCAAACTTAACTATAGTAGAAAGTCTAGAAGCAAAAAAAGCTGTTCAATAAGCACCCAAATCGCTCGCTAAACGCCCGCAATAACTTAGGGTTGTAGTTGTTAGTCGGAAAGCCATTAGAAACGACTAGTTACAATCGATCAATAACCATGCTTCACATGGAAACCAATGCTTCCAGTCCTCTCCGCTTTTCGTAAAGTATGGGGAATTTTTTCAATTTTCAGACATTTGTATCCATGAGCTGAGAATGTTACGTACATACGTTAATTTCCAGCTGTAACTGTATTAATATTTTTAGCACTTATTTGGGAAAGAAGTAATTTGAAGACATTGACAAATTATTTTAAATAATAAAGAGAAACGAAAGGTCTCTTTATTATTTAAAATAATTATTTATTTATTTTAAATAATTAATTATTTATTCTACGTTACTTCCTAGAGTTTATAGGGAGGATATCACAGTGGTAGTGATACCCGTCATCACGAACATGATGCCAATTTGATTCCGCCCTGGACCAACCAAGCCTCTCATCCGTCCGGAATCGAGAAATTAGTGCTCAACTTGTCTGGGAAAAATCACTCTATGCAATCCAATTGGAAACGCTCTAGCTATCTCACGTAAAACGCCACCTCACGACTTCAGGGATAACTGTTCAACCAGCATTTTACGACATTCAAGATGAAATGAAAATCATCAATCACTAACCGAAGCCAGGCGTAAAAACTTGGAGGACCTTCGTAGACTGGACGATGTATGCGAGGAAGCGAATTAGATGTGAGAAGTGCTGCAGTCCGCACACTAGACGTGTTGACGGATCAAATAAAGTAAAATAAAATAAATATATATTTTTAATATGTTAATAACATAATATAATAATATATTTCGCAACATACCCTGCCATTAAGAAGAAAAAGGCAGTAAATAAAAGGGTTAAGATTGTGATTATAATAAAATAGAGTAAAAAAATTCCAGAGTTTAAGAAGAAAGAGTACGATCTCCGCTTCTCAACGTAATAGCAGTGATTTAGGAACTAATAATACCCGTAAAAAACCTGAAACAACCACTGAGGCTCACAAAAAAAAAATAAGACAGGTTAGAAAATATATTAACGGTGCTACGCACTAGGGCAATCATCTTCATTATAGGTGATAAAGCCTTTTGTTATTGTAGTGCATGAGAAAAAGCAAGAGAAAATGAATGTATTGGGAAGCGTTGCACCATGAAGGAAAGCAGGCAGTTGCAACGGAAGAAATACTTTTGAAGGTGGCCAGATTTAGCAGAAAGAAAAAACACCTCCAGTGGTCTTTTCTCTTCTTTTATGCCTTGTTTTGACAATGAAATCGGCTTCACCAAGGTTGTCCCACTGAATTCTCTACTACCGCCTAAATCCAACAATCTAGCTCGCGTACGTAAAATTTAGGTATTGTTGGGACAGAAAATAAAAGGTAGAACATCGGTCTTTTTTATTTATTAATCGTTAACTTTAAGTCAAAGAGATGGTTAGCGCAGTAGTAATGACGCCGTGCATCACGAATACAGTTTTAGTTCCACCACGTCTTCAATTCACCCGAGATCAGGAACTTGACACTAGACATCACTGCGACAAACTCCTTCAAATTCACAAAGGAATGTTGTAACACAGCCATCCCAACTTTCGAGAGGAGTCGACTCGATTAGCGTTAATCAGCGAGGACTACAATCCTCAATCACCAGCCGAAAAGCTCGAAGACCTTCAAGGATGATAGATGCGAACGAACGGAATGTGAGGTGCTAGGATCCACACAGCGGAAGATTAAAAATCAGGTTTGAAAAAACAGCTCAGTAAGATTTTAGTCAAGCAAGGTGATTGCTACACTACTTGAAGATATGAATGTTAGAAAAGCGCGAGTATATTTGAGTTTTTCTTCTTTAAAAAGTGACTGAGAAACACCACTCCATCTGGTGAGATTTTTGACTTTAGAAACTTTACCTAATACAAACATTTGTCGCTTTAAATGCCACTACTATTTCTTATAGTAATTCGTTTAGTGTAGTGATTAAAGATGTTCTACATCACTCATGTGACCTTGGTTTGACCCTCGGCACATGGCTAATAAAACCCCCGCCACCAGCACATCGCTCGGGAAAATCGTATCAGACCTGCCTACTATGATTAAAAAGTATTTGCTTGGTGCATTGGTTCGCCTCAAAGTGAATGTGTAGGCCAAATATGCAATCGTCACCTCCACGTTGCTACGAATGCAGTCGGATGCACGAAGCATATAGCTCAGGGACACCTCACCTTTTCCACAGTTCGTTTTTCTTTCTTTTCGTGGCAAATAATCCTTTTTAAGGAGTTTGATGGCAATGGAAAAATTTGTGGTGGGGGAACACAAGTAGAAACAGTTGACAGAGGAGTGGTTCATAAAAGTTTTATGCAAA